GAGGGTCCCCATCACGAATATGATATTCATTTTGGCGCTGGCGCCATTTGGCGCCAGGTGGCGCCAACTGATTCCCACTAAATTCGCTGTAAACTTCTGTATAGGGGTTATTTGGGGTGATTACGAATATGACATTCGTTTTTGTTGTTAGCGCTATTCGGCGCCTATTTCCTGCTCGTCTGCGCCCTCGCACTAATTAGATCGCAATCAGGACTAAGCCTTTGAATAGTGGAGGGCTCCAAAGTGAGTAGGCCACTCCCCTGTGGTCTAACACACTCCAACTTTTGCCACACGGTGCGTGGTTTACCCACTCCGGAGTTTCACTCCCCTCCCCTAAGCTTAGTCTTAGGCGCTATAGGTGAGAAAGCTTAGAAAAGCAGAAAATATGCGTTAAACAGCACGAATGTCAAAAACGAGTGTCATATTCGTGATCAGGGCCCCAAATAACCCCTATACAGAAGTTTACAGCGAATTTGGTGATAATCAGTTGTGGCGCCAGCGCCAAAAATGGATGTCATATTCGTGATCAGGACCCTCGATAACCCCCATAGCAGAAGTTTCAGCGAAAATTATTTTTTGACCCATCTCGGCCCCCTCTGGGTTGTAATAGTGCAATAGGGCCTTTTACTCTACATAGAATGTGTCTATGCAGAGAATACATGCGGCATACATAAGCAATTATCTTTGGCCTCCCTTCTTTTCGCTACACTTGCTCCTAACCACGTTTAAAGCTAACCATCTTCCAACAACGCCGAAGGAAGCGCCGGATGTTGAAGGGCTGAGAATGAAGCATGGTCCCGCAACGAACGACGTTCAAAAAGTGGGCAGCCTGCCACAAAACTCGTTTTTTCAGGGTGTAGGTATGGGCGACAGTGTGCTCAGCAAGAACGAGTAGAAGTAACCAGAATCGGCAAATCAAATCGATTTCCTTCTCGATGGTGAAAGAAACACAGGCGCTGATGCTAGAATTGTCCGGTCCGCATCGTGAACGCGACTCAGAAAGTAATAGGTAATGACGAGGAACACCACGCACTGCATCCCTCAGCAAAGCTGCGCGTAACTCCACTTAGCACTCATGGTCCTTTCCCCAGACGCCCCCGTAGGGCAGTAACATCATTTACCTAAGGGCTCGCATGTCGATCTCACATTATAAACAAGTTCATACCTTACACAAGAGTCATTCTTAGACTCTTCTTTGGAGGCTTGACGCAGTTTATTTACGATATTAACCACTGATGCATCGTTGAAATGACTCCGAACGAAACTTTCAACGTTGTCATGAGCATAGGGAAACAAGACGTCCTGGAAAATATTTTGTTCTGAACATTAAGGATGGAGAAACTAAAGTTCATAAGAATGATCCAGTTTGCATGCACAAAAATAAACTAAGCATCAAGCATAAAACGCTCGGACGCTCGGCTGTATCATTCTCTTTTGGGATATTTCGAAAAAAAAGGAACTAGATGAGCACTATTCCTTCCAACGCTTATAGCCAAAATGTCTGTCCTAGTTTTGAATGCCTGAGGCCCCTGCGCCAGAACGCCACCTCCAACTGCTCTTGAGCACTTGAGTCAGTAGAAGGTAAAGGCCGATGCCAGACTTTGCGAATCGAGCGATTCGCTAGCGTCCGCGGTCGCGTTGCGGTACCAGCCAATTGAGTGATTCACTGGCCGCGACGCGACCGCAGACGCTAGCGAATCGCTCCATTCGCAAAACTGACATCAGCCTAAAAGCTAAGAGCGTTGTTGTTTCATGAGCCATTTCGATTTTTACCCTAGTAGCCTCGGATTCACCGTAAATAGTACGCATCAGTTAGCGTCTTTGTATTCATTCTTGGGCCGAGTTCAGTCTAGTTAGCAGGTTATCTGCAAGACATGCCCAGCCCTAGCGAATACTCATGCCCAAGAAATATGCGCTTGAGGCTTCATGGTATCAACCCAGGTATCCTCCACATTTGGACTTTCCTTTAAGGGTGGGAACCGCACAAGGAAATCTGAAACGACATACGCCGGAATGTTAGGCGCAGTGGGGGATCGTGGAGACTGTAACCTAAAAGCCCGTTGGAGGCCATAAACCCTCATTTTTTTCGAAAGCAGCGACTAATGCAACGCATGTTGGCGTCACTTTCCTGCTAGTTCAAAATAAGCACGCCATATGAAGCAAAAAAGGCGCGAGACCTACCTACGGCGAACGATCTTCGGGTCAGAATTTGAAAGATTCTAGAACATCAAAGTGGCAAAGCTTAAACACCACTGCAATCGCTAATTACATCGGGTACATGGCGCATCCCAGCAGGATTTCCTACTAAAACACGGCATATTTCAATGAGTACAAGCAAGCGAACGTTTTCGGAGGAATGCGATGCTTCTGAACCAGATCAAACCGGAGCAAAGGGCAGTGAAACTGGCGGACTGACTTCCGGCGTCCTAGTAGGAAATTGGGAAAGCTTTCATCCCAAGGCTTCTTAGAAACAGCCCGTTCAGGCTGTTAGGTTAGGCTAGTTGACCAAATACTGAGCAATGCAACTAAGTAAGACTTACATGACCACGCCAGTAAACGATAATTCATTAAAGAGAACAACAGAATTAGAAGAAGAAAAAGCTTCAAACCACACCTTTACAAAGGAGATGCTCGTGACTGTGCCTTCGATATCAAGAAGAAGAGCCGAAAAATTCATTCTAAATATCTCCACTATAGAAACGAATCGGAAAAGGCAACCAGAGCTCGAAGAGATATGAACCTAAAATCTTGCCCAGTGATTCTTTTACTAAACCCAAAACCATCCGTAAACTAAAGTGCGGCACACAGATCATCACATATTTTACGTCTGGTACAACTGCTATGTAGTGCACAGCCCAGAAGGCCTGCTGCATACGATGCAGCGGTTTTATGGGAGTGTTTGTGTCCCATACCGAAGGTTGCAATTCTACTGACCAAGAAATTCCGCGTTGTTCTTACGGAAGGCCAATATGGTTTGTGGTGATGCATGTGAAACCGCGTAAAACCCCTTATTTTTATTACAAATGGGACTAAACGTTAGGGCGGGGAGGAGAACCTACAGAAAGCGTGAGAAATTTCATTCCCCTCGAAGTTCCTACATCCACCTAGGCTCACTTACTCAGAGGATATCATAGTCCAACCTACAGCGACAAATCTGCACTCCTTTAATGTACAGGAATCTGACCACTTTGATCTATACGTACGGCCAATATGCATCTCGCAAGTATTCTACCCGAATTGAGTGGTCAAATAAAGGAAGGGCACAAAATTCAACTCTCATGGCATGTGAGAAGCGGTCGACATAATCGTCCGGTCGCCGCGGCGCCCCGTTCTTGCGCGCAACGCGGCGATTTTGCGATGGGCGCGGAATTTTTCAATTTGACAGATGCAGCAGTGAGTTCCTTGCAATTCACAGTAATCCATGTGGGGCCCGCATATCAAATTTCAATTAGCTTGATCTGGATGTTCCATAAAAAATGACAGGAATAAGTTTGTTTTGAAAGTTCTTTGTCGCAGTATTGAAAATGCAGAAAGAAGAAACAGGTTGTGCTACATCGCAGTGACTCCAAATTTAACTCAGCGAATTTGAGGAAATTCAGCTGTTCTCGATCCAGGAGCGCTCGGTGATACCCACGGACACAAGGACTTGTCACGCAGAATATGATTTGCTCCTCACCTGCCTGGTACCCAGCGTTGAACACATGGTCAAGCGAACTGTCGAGGAAAATTTGGAAATACGACCCCTCCTCCCCCAGAGGCCGAAGTCCATGAAACGACCCTCTTCAAAAGCCGAACTATGAAAAGGTTGTTTAATTCTCCCCCAAAACTGTTCATAAAAAAGCCCTGCTACCCCACCGTCCACCAAAAAATTCGTTTAAGAAGTACAAAAGTGAAAAAGTCAAAGAATGATCATTATTGATGAGTCCTACAAACGAGCAAACGAGAAACGGAGCAAAAAAAGTCACTGACAATGGCAAACTATGACAACATGTCTTCTTTATTTCCGACGCAAGTTTGAGTTTTTCGCTGCAATGGCACTATTTCAACGACTATAGCTCCTTTCAGGGCGATTATACTAAAGTAGGAGCAGATTCGAAATCCTCGTGCTTTTTTCCAAGAAGTGTAAAATTGTTTAGCGTGTCTCAACTTTAAAGGTTACATGCTTGTGAATTTGACGCTGAAGGCTGCGTTTCTTGTTGAATAGTGTACTCCTCCCTGTAATTTCACATGAACCCTTTCAGAATCCTCTTGATTTTTCCTGAATTGAGATTCTTTCTCCAGAGAGCCGTAGCTGAAGCGCGCGCAACCAACTGGGCCCACTCTGGGATGCGCCGTGTGCTTCACATCCCTTCAGATTGAGGACTCACTTGAAAGATAAAATATCCCTTGGAAAACGTGCGAATTTCGGATTCTTTAACTTGTGTGGTGATAAAACACTGAAGTAACTAAGAATTGCTAAGCGGACACCTCTGAATCACGAAGATTTTGTGTGGGCGGAATATCATTGTTATTGGAAATCCTCTGGCCTGGCATCGACTCGATCCTTGATGTTTGTCCTCCGACGGTGATGCATCAATCGGGCCCGATCTCTCCTCCCAGCGGGCCAATACGACCCCCCCCCTGTGACGTGTCGAGGATTCCTCAACGCACGCTTGACCCTGGTTGAACAGAACCCGAATTTACCATGAGTTTTATCTTCTGCAACATACATTGTGCAGTAATATACAATATGACAATGAAATCTCAACTTATCTTTGGTGGATACAGGGTCGAGCGTGCGTTGAGGAATCCTCGACAGGCGGACGGGGGGGGTCGTATTGGCCCGCTGGAAGGAAGGGATCGGGCCGGATCGATGCAGTAGGATCATCATGCGTTGGAGAACAAAAATCAAGGATGTGATCGATGCTGTGCAAGCTTGGTCAGAGGATTTCCACTCATATAATTCTGCCCACATAATTTCGTGGTTGGAGTGATTCGCGCAGCATTTCTAAGCAACCACAGTGACTTATGGCGACAAGCCTAGCGAATTCAGAATTCGCACATTTTGTCACTTGTGCGCGTTTAAGCAACGGTCCTCCGCTGTAAGAATCTCGATTCAGGAAGAACCAAGAGGATTCTGAAAGGTCCGTGCGGAATTAAAGGGAGACTCTGCTATTCAACAGGAATGCAATTTTTAGAGTCAAATTAATTTGTAACGAATGGAGTCGACACTCACTAAACGATTCTTGTTGAAAAGAGCTAAGCACTTGAATTCCGAATCTGCTCCCACTCTTGTACATAATCGTCCCTGAAAGGAGCTTCAGTCGTTGAAAGGAAGTCAATGCAGGAAAAAGTACCTTTCGGCGGTAGGCAAAAATCCTCAACGTGGCCATTTTTCAATACTGGACGTTGGAGCAGTTCTAGTAAGCATTTGATAGAGCAAATCTTCTAGTTTATGATGACGTATTAACTTTTCAGATTGGATGAGTTTGAACGGAGTTATGGCTTTGGAAAGCGTAAAAACTCGCACTCATCACGAATTTTCCTCGTTAATTTTGCAAAAATCCTCAACGTGGCCATTTTTTGAATACTGGACGTATGAAGCTGCTTTAGTTACCGCTGAATAGAAAAATCTTCTAGTTTTGTCTGCCGTATTACCTTTTCAGATTTTAAGACCCCCTGTCGAAGATTTCCTCGACCGATATTCACCCTGATCTCATGACACTTGCGTTCTAGCACCCCTTATCGGGTCTTATCAGTTGTTATCACCTTCTGTCCCCCCAAATATGTTCCCGTCCCACCCCCTATATCATATCAAATCAACTCCTGATGACTGCTGCGACGCGTGCTATGAATTTCGTGACACACACACTCACAAACAGACAGATATAGCGTTTTATGTATAGTAGGGATGTTGGCCAGAGCACTTTAGGGAGGTCGTTTCATGGCAATGGCTGGTAAATAGGTGAAAGTGAAAAGTACACAGCGATTTTCGAGTAATTTCAAGATGCCTAAAAAGGTGTGTAATACATGGGGTTGTTGAATATGAGTAGATTTGTCTTTTTGTAGCGAAAACGGTTTTCTACACAACGAACTCGAATGTAGTGGGAAAGGATTATGTACTTTGATGCGACGAAGGCGCTTCATGATAATTTCGAAATCTTTATTCTGGTAGCTTTAGAAAATTTTCAGGCGAGACCTTCTCCACAATACGTGTAACTCTTGTTGTCCTTACTTGGCTTTTAATCAAGGGCTTTCATTGTAAATTGAATTGTAAATTAAATTTAATTAGGAATTGTAAATCGAAATTGCCTCAAACCTTC